GAAGATGATTTAACAATATTTTATTTATAATTCATTCCAAAATATTTTGTTATAATCATTAACATTTTAAAAATTTATCATAGTAGGTACTGAAATATTTTGTAAAATCTTAGAAAATATGGTAGGTGCAATAGTACAGGCAATCAATATATGACCTTAACTGCCTTCTGAATTTAATCTACCAATACTTATTTTCAGATGTGTAGCTTGAACACAACAATTTCTCAACTGTACAAGTAGGGAGAAAAAAATGCAAGTTATTATGGACCTTTGTAAGGTACTTACTCAACTTTGATACAATTTTGGTATGTAAAAGTATATGTAAACAAATAGCATATAACCGTCTTAAAATACTAAAGTCAATAATTATTTCAGTACAATATGTAGTTAATTCATGAGTATACGTATTCAAGGTTAAGAAAATTGTAACAGAGATTCTAATTTATTTCCTTTCTTTTATAATTTTGAGGCAGAACTAGACTGATAACTTCACCAAAGAGAAAGAAGATTTAAAAGTATTTATGTTTTATAATAATTTTAAAGTGTCATCTGAAGAAATAATCACAGAAAGTATAAACCAGATAATTCTGTGTTAATATTTATATCTTGTCATAACTCATTTCAGAGCTCGCAAAAGGTACAAGAAAAACTTTGATGACAATCAAAACCATTAGCTAGGGATTTTCTTTTTTTTTTTTTTTTTTTTAAGATCCAGCATAGCAGGTACACTACGATTAAAATTCTTTAGTAATTTCAAAAACCATGAAACAGAGACACTGAGAGTTTAAGAGTTTTCCTATGAATTAAAGCTCTAAGGCTGCATTAGGTCTTTTATCCCACTCAGGATATCTTAATTATTGTCCCAGGAAAATGGTCTCAAATTGGCAGGACTTCCCCACCCCCACCCAACCATGTACTCTGATAACAAAAATGCTGTTAGGGAAAAAAAAAATAAACTAATATCTAAATGATAAAAAAGAAAAAGTAATAAAATGTAAAAGTGAAAGTTCAAAAAATCAAGTTTCAAACTTAATGGGATGCATTGGTTATTAGTAAGTTAACATAAAGACAGTCTGTCTTACCAGAAAGTCTAATACAGGCTGTAGGGCATAGTGTTAAAGAGTACAGGTAATAGGAACTGAGAGTTCCAGATCTGTCACTTATTTTATGTGTGACCTTAATAAAAATACTCTTATTAAAACATAAATTTCATTAGAGACTTTTTTCTTGCCCAATGATGTACTCTTAATATCTAGAATAGCGTGTGATGGATGGTAGGTTCCAAATAAATAATTGTTAAATGAAATAAATAATGAATAGACATTTAGAATTTGAAAGATCTTCATTTCTGTTGAGTTGCAATTAATGTCACTGTAACATCTATTGATTTAATGACCCCAGGTCTGTTCTCAGCTTCAGAAGGAATGAAACTATTCCTTATGAAATGTGATAGGCTCAAGCAGTTGAAGAATGGTGTCATGTCACTTAGGAGTTTTTCTTCATCAAATTTGAGACCTTCAGTTATGTCACTCTTACTACTGTACCTTCAAAGATAATACAATTTTTTAATGATAGTCTTTCAGGTTTTTCCTTAAGAATAAAAACGCTGAAATTCATTAAAGATAAAAACTTCTTTCTCCTGCCAAATTACTACCTTAATTTTTGAATCCTCCCTTGGACAGATGTGGTTATATCCTCTCTTCTGTTAGCCTCCTCTTTCAATTCACCAGGGAGTAGTCTCTCTTTTTGATTTTCAGCAATCCAACCATGCAATGCCTGGTTGTATTTATTTTACATTATTTTACATTATTTCCTGGAAATAAGGTAGTAGGTTTTTTGAGTTGCTGATTAATAAATTTTGATTTTGGAAAAGCCTCAAGGATAACCTATTTCTTTTGTTTCATTCTTTATTCTATTTCTTGTACTCTCAATATTAAATCAATATTAAATATTTTGACAGTACCTGATGTAACTTTTATTTTGTTCTCTTTTTTGTTATTGTTGTTTCTTTCCTTCTTTTTTCTTCTTCTTCTCCTCCTCCTCCTCCTCCTCTGTGCTTCGATTTGGATAATTTCTATCCTACTATCTCCAAATTTACTAATGCTATCTATCTTCTGCTGTGTCCATTTGTAGTTAAGCCTCCTCAAAAGTCTTTAATTTCAGTAAATTCTTTTTGTTGAAGAATATAAAAAAACAGTTTGTGTCTCTGAAAGCCTCCATTTTGACCACTTTTCTAAAAAAATTAAAAACAATTTTTCCAATTCCTACTACAGCAATTCCAGTATCTTAGTTATGTGCTAGTATTTTTCTTTTAACTAATTGGTCCCCTGATGATGGGTCAACTTTTCCTATACTTTTCTTTTTCTTTTTTTTTGCAATACCAGGGATGGAACTTAGGACCTTGCACTTGCGGTGGAGGTTTGGTAACACTGAGCTAAATCCCAGGCCCCTATAACTTTTGATCATATATCTAAATACCATGGATAAAAGAGACTTGAGGATACTAACATCAACATTTCCTTCCTATAGGAGTATCTCTTCCTGTCAAGCAGATCAGAGGAAGGGATCAACCAAATACAATGAGGAACTAAGCTGGTATGGTCTTAGTTCACACTGTAGTGGTATTCAGCTTAAATTTGGCTTCAAATGTCTCAGGAGGAGACTTACCTTACATTTGTGCAGGACTCTCCCTATGGTATACTGATACTGAGTGGAAATATACAACATAGTACAATTGCGCACTATCTATATAAAGATTTGTGAGTACTCACTTAAAAAGGATTTTTTAAAAAAAAGTAGAACATAGTTGTAAAAATATATTTGTCACTATACCTACAAACGTCATAGCAATATATGTTTGGTGTAAATAATATTAATGAGGCATTTTAGTTTGTTTTCTTTTATGTTTTCAAAATCTGGTATGCATGTTATAAAATCTCATTTGAAAGGCACATTGTAGGCTATTTATTGGACAGCACATCTCTACTGCGCCTTTGTTTTTAAATGTGAAAGTTGAGAAATTCAATTTCTTTATGCCAACACTCTCTCTCAGAAAAAGTACTGTGGAGGAGAGGATGGGTGTTTGTGGCTCCTCCTCCAGATTCCAATTTGTCCCTCTTGGCCACATGACTGATAAATGTACCAGGATTTCTCTTTCCCATAACAAACTCTGCTTATATCCAAAAAAGACAAATACTACTTGAGTTGAAAAGAATCCAGGCTTTACTAACCTAGGAACAGAATTTCCCTCTCTGGAATTAATTCCATTGGACCTCTAAGTGACATCACATTCTGATATTTTTCTAAAATCAATTTTATTGAGACACTGTTGACATCCCATAAAATGTGTTCCTTTGAAGTGGTTTATTATATATTCTTATTGTGCTTGCTGTACAGCCCTCATTGTGTTTCTCATTTTATATTACCACTATCTAATTACAGAACATTTTCCTCAACCCTAAAAAGAAATCCCAGAACTATTAGTAGTCATTCTCCTCCCACCTTGACTTCCTAGCAACTCTATTCTATTTTCTACCTCTATGGATTTGTCTTTTTGGGACATTACATCTACATGGAACCATATAATAAGTGGACTTTTGAGTATGATCTTTATTGTCCTTTTTGCATGAGGATTTCAAGGTTAAGCCACTGTATTGCATATATTAATTTATTTCTGTCAATGACACAATAATATTCAATTGTATTACTATACATTTTATCCATTCATAAAATTTGAAATTCACAAATTTTGTAATTCATAAAATTATAAAAGATACACATGCAAGAGTTTTTAAAGGTTAGAAAATTAAAGAATTTTTCAAGTAGAATTTATGTTTTACAGTAACTCTTTCCCCAGATTCTAAGGGAATCATGAGTTGTAACTTTGGTTTTATCCCTATTTAACTTGAGATAATTATTATTTTGGACAATTGGTTTCTTAATTTGTAAAGTACTATGGAACATAGGTTAGATAATCCCTAAGGTCTCTTTAAGCTCTGATGACATCATAAGATTTTATATAAAGTAATTTAAAAGATCAACATAAACTACTTTAACAATTAATACAGGGAAGAAACCACGCCATTTATGACAAAGGAAAAAATTATCAACTCAAATATCAAAACTATTTTGGAAATAAAACTCCTAGATCCACTTAATGTAAAAATAGACATCACCTTCTGGGTGGTAAATGTATTACCAAAATTAGAATCTTTCCCTAGTAGTAACGCATATTAGAAAACTGTGGGAATTTATTTTGTGAAAGAATAGAGCGACAACATCTGAAAAACAGACCAGCAGGAAGAACAACATACTTGTTCATCCATATTTCTCTGACTTTTCTCACTTAGTATTATTTGCAATTGTACTTTCATGTCTGGCAGCAGTGTCAACTTCAGTATGAATCATATATTATTTTTATCATGTTGATTACATATGTTCACCGGTTTAGTTGTCTATATATGCTTGGTGTGGTTTGCAAATATTCAGTGACAAAATCCAGAGCACAGCATTTTCACAGAAAGTGTTTACTGTGAAATTTCTTCTTAGAAGTTTGCTTTTCTTTACAGCTTTGATCCATATGACATCCACAGTCCTTCATTTCAAATAGTGGCTTACATATAAATTGAGAAAATGTTTCACTTTGATACAACACGGCTACAGTAGGATGCAGTGGTTCTAGAGAGGACCTCATTTTCTTATGTGATTAGATTGATCAAATTTGAAATCTGCTAAATTTTTCAAAACTATGCTTCTTCTCACTTATATGGTGATTTGGTACTTACATTCTGTTATTCATCAACACTTCACAGAAATACTTGATTTGTCTGAATGAATTTAAAAACCCACAACTGAAGAAAATCAGAAAAAACTGGTTTTAAATATCAAAAGCTCTCAAATGAGAACTATTTATAAAGGCCACGTTAACCAAGTTTTATTGATCACTGTACTTCTTTGCAGGAAAAAGTATTGCAATATTGAACATAACAAATTAAACTTACTGATAAATATCTTTCCTGAGAACTGATCTGCCTAGGGGGTTGTCAGCCTGGGGAGCCATGGCAACAGAGCCAATCTTCAAAACCATGGTGTCTTCCTTTGCTGCCTGATTAACTGTAACAAAAGAGATAGACATATGAATATATTGTGCATAACTTTATGTATAAGAATATTTCAAAAAATGGGGTAGAAATACATTAACATAACACAAATAAATAAGGAAAATACAATTAAAATAAAAATATTTGTTTTTCTTAATTCTGTGTTTCCTTCAAATCCAATAAAGTGGTTTTTTGTTAGAATATCCAATTAAAATAACAAAAAAATCAATTCCATTCTCAACATTAAAATAATTATAAATATAAATATCATGCGAAGCCATTTCCTTAACTTCACAATTTTATACTACTGCATCATTCTCTCAAATCATTTCCAGTTTTGGATTACTAACACTCCATTGTTGTTTAAACTGTTTATAGTTACTTTTCCTTATGAGTTTCTTTCTCTTTACAGCTTTGATCCATATGACATCTACAATCCAAATTTCAAATGATGACATACACTAAAATTAACAAAACGTTCCAATTTAATACAATGTAATTAAGTCTCAAATCCATTTAAATTTACATGCTTAATAATAACTAAATACACACACACACACACACACACACACATATACACACACACAGAAACATAGACCAGAGCACTTTAATTTCCACAATGTCAGAAAACCTAACAGATATATGGTAGTTACAATGTCGGAAAAGAAAAACTGATATGAGAAACTATTTCAATTTGCTATTTAAAGCACTTTAATAATTTCTACTTTTCTACTGTGAAACTGCTTAAGAAATAGTAACCAAAGACTGTTTAAATGAAGTCTAAAAGTGATGTAAGTAATTTCAGAAAGAAAGAAAAAAAAAGGACTACATACACATAATATATTCTCAGGAAGTTCAACTCTATTTCTATAATTTACTGGCTAATTCAGTGTCTTTTTTATGGAGTATCTGAGCTGTTGGTAGGGATATTTTACTGTTTTCCAACAGATACTTCTACTTTAGTGGCTGAAACAGTGTTTAAAATTTCTTAATAATATATAACTTTCAAGGATTTGAAGCAAACATAATAAAACTTATAATTGTCTCAAGGAGGTATCATCTGCCAAAAATAGAAAAGAAAATGACTGGCTACAAGACCTCAGGAATATCCTGAACAGAACATGCCTACAAAGACATACAATCCATATTTCCCAAACTGTGGTACCCAAAGAATGCAAGAGCTAGAAGATTATTTCCAGCTGCTTGGGCAGTACACTTGGTATGGTCTGACTTAGATTAGTCTCAAAAAGAAAGTTGGAATTAGGAAAATCAGGAAAAGGAATAAGAAAGACACATAGGTCAGGTAAAGAACCAAAGTAAGAGGACCATAAAGGGAATGGAGAAAGTTAAAATGGCAAAGAGGTAGGAGGAAGGACAGCAGAAGCAGAAAAAAGAAATGAATCACCATAATAAATACTAGCATGTGGATGTCACAGTAAATACAATACGTTTAAATGTCATGGGAGGGAAAAAAAAGATCAAACAGAAAAGTACTTCTCATGCAGCTGCACTATTTTCAAATGACTACAAGACTGGCTTGATTATAGGTCCCCATACTATGAACATTGTTTACATTCCATAGATCTTGCATTTCATGCCAAGCTTATCAAATAGTTCCATGTGAATAAAACCTCTGATTAAGCAGCAGGCATCAATTAAATCAATAAATAATAAGCTTGGAGAACAGATCATGCCACAAAAGTGCCATTAGTGTACTTGCTAACTGTTCTTTAAGGCTATAGATACTACTCACCATATGAAAGCATGAACTGTAACAGAAACACTGCAGAAAATGTGGTACAGATGGAAGGAAAATGATGTACTTGGAGTTACACAAAAAGCCAGATCCATGAAGAGAATTTTCTTACTATTAGAGCCCAAAGTGTTCTCAGTAGATTATACTATGAAGTTATAATAAAGCAAATATATATTAGTATGAACCTAATGAATATCATTCATAAAATGGATTATAATAACTAATTGTAGAATGTATACAACCTGTCAAAATATTTCACTGATATATAAACAAAAAATAAAAACTATGTATTTATGTAAAGAAGCATCTTGAGCCATTTATTCAGTTACTTTATAGTGTAAAAAGAAACTAGCTTCCTATTTTGGGCTTATTTCACCTACACTTAATACTTGAGTCATACATATGAGGAAATATTCTCTCATGAAGCATTTTAAACATGAAAATGAATGGCTTCTTTTTTGTGTTATCTGTATTTTTAAAAACAGAACCTCATGAGGAACTACTCACCCCATAAGAGTCACAGAGAAACAAAAACAAACAAACAAAAAGTCATCTATTCTAAAATAAAAAGCTTAAACTAGAAGTAAAATACTTATAGATTTAGAAACCTTGATAATAATTGCACACAGTGCAAACAATATTCATGTTGAAGAACAGATTTTCAACGTCACTCTTCTAAATAAAATACTAAAATGTTAAATATATTTTATTGTCAGCTAAATTTTAGGTATGGTTTTTAAATTTTGCATTACTGCAACATAAATGTAAGTCTGAATATTTTATCTTTTAGGGGTCAAAAAGAGTATATATGTGTGTACGTGCAGATGCATGGATAGTTATATGTGTATGGCAAATGAAAAGGTAATTGACAACTTTGAAATTATGAGCGTATATCAGCTACCAAGAGTTTAATATGAGCAGAATTTTCATTTGACTGTTAGATAACTTAAGATCATCTCTTGTGAGTTTTTAACATGACACACATGAAATAAGTGATTTCAAGATTTGGAATTTCCTTTAAATCTCAATATAAGAAAAGAACTACAGTCTTAAGAGTATTTGAAATTTCCACTGTGTAATGTTATATTTTTTATAAAACCATAATTACTATGATAGCCCTACACAAAAACATCAGCAAAGGGTTTTAGTTATTGCCATGTTCCACTTGAAGCCAGAAAGAATGCCCAATAAGTGTAAGATTAGAAAAAACAGAAAAATTTAACTTAAGAATTATCTTTAAGACAAGCATATATTGCTATAAACACAGTTGTTCTGTGATATTTTTATAAAAAAGTTTTACAGAGAAGCATGATATAACAATAACTGTACTATCCTGTCATAAGACAGCTTATAATATTCTAAATTTGTTTAATCTCAAAAAATATTATTCAGTCTTCCTATTGAAGCCTTCTAAAATAAAAACATTCTTCACTCTTATTAGAGTTGTTTAAATAATGATATTTATTGGAATATAATTGTCATTTCTATTATGATTTCTTCAGTTACATCATAGCTTTTAACAAACATTAACTGGAGAGATCCATTCATCCATATAAAATATTTTAAAATTTATCTATATTTTAAAATGCTTAATTTTATGTTAAATGAATATTACCTAAATGAAAAAAATTTCCCTTCTATTTTCATGAATTTATCATTTGAAATGAGTAGCAATGGAAAGAGATAAAGTATCAGATACAATCTAACAATATAATGTACCAAAATCTTTTAACTGTTGGCATGCATTTTTGCGACTGTATTTTCACATCTGCATTTTCAGAATGGGTACATGATAATTTATAACATTTCAGGTATATATAGAGATGTAATTATAAAGATATACTCACACATTTGTACATACAGGACAAGAAACAAAAAAGTAAAGATATTGCAAAATATATGCAAGACTACTTTTTTTTCAGTGTTTTCCTCCTATTCTCACTTACAAAATTAAAAGGATGGGTTAATCTCAGTTATCTTTTATGTCTATGTCTCTTCTATGATTATGAGAAAATATCATTCTGCCTTGCCAACTATGGTTTAGAGAATTATCTTGTATAAAAATGTAGGTTTCCTTTTTTTTAATAAGCCAGGTTTTTATTAATTTTACTAGCGAAAAGACTAATAAAAGGGATTAGATCTCTTTGTACCATCTGTGGTATAAGCCACCAATTGGGTCAGTTATGCATATACCACTGGTAGTTCAAGCTGCCTAGAATGGAGACATGAATTATAGCAATGTTGTGAACATGTAAAAACCTCTATAAATTTAATGTAAATTACATTAAATAAAAATTCATTAGATGTTCATATAATAAAATATAAAAACAAGGAAAAAGAACATAGGTCATTACTTCTAAAATAAATGTCCAACTTTTGCTTTTCTGATTAGTGCGTTGTCTCTTATATCACTTGCAATTGTTCAGTACAGAATAACTCCATTTATAATTCCTGTGTTTCTACAAACTATGTGAATAGGTGAAAACAATTATATAGTGTTGTCATAATTAGTATATTAAAAGAATAGTAATTATACATGTCAAAGTAATCAATTATAAGACAAACGCTATCAAAAGAATTAGACATAAAAGTAGGAACTTTAAAAGTAAGAATCCTGGGGCCAGGGATGTATGTAGCTGAGTGATACCATGCCTGCCTTGCAAGTGCAAGATCCTGAGTTCAATCCCCGTTGTGTGTGTGTGTGTGTGTGTGTGTGTGTTTGTGTGTGCAATTCCATAAGCATATGTTCGAATTAGCTCCACTCTAGATATTTTGTTGAGTAAAAAATACAAAGCTGTGTAATTTTTTAAATTATGAAATATTAAGATTAAACTCTCCAATGTAGACAGAACTAGATTGATTTTTTTTGTTATCTTTGATCATTCAAAATTTTTGGCTCTACAAAATTAAAAAAACAAAACAAAACAAACACCCATCCCAAAATAAACTTCTACTATTTTTATGTGTTACAAACCATTACGTATATCTGAAATATCCATTCTCTCTTCTCTTTCAAATTCACAGGGCCCTATCTGCATTGGTGCTTCAGTAGCAGAATTCTCAAATTCACAGGGCCCTAATAATTTTTTTAGCTGCGATTATGATATGGTTTGAAATGCAATGTCCCTCTAAAATGTTTATGTTTCAACCCTAAAATAATAGTATTATGTAGAGGAACCTTTAGGAAATAATTAGTTCATGACAGGTCTGTGTTCATATATAAGGGCTTCAGTGAAAAAGTTTGTCCCTTTTTGCCCTTGTAGTCTTCTACAATATGAAGATGGAAGCAACTGCCTGCCATCCTGAAAGTAGACAGAAGTTCTCTTTGGACAATGAATCTACTGACATAAAAGTAATGTGACAAATAAACTTTAATATTTAAAAATTGCCCATTGTAAGGCTTTTTGTTATAGTAGCAAAAATAAACTAAGCATACCATCACCTAGGTAAAATATTGTATCTCAGTCTCTTTTGCACCTGACCATGAGCATATGATTAAGTCTGTACAATAGTTGTATATGGAAGAGAATTCTAACAAATACAGAATTGTATTTTTTGAAAAGGGCATAACCCTTTCATGATAATATTCTCAATTAGGAACTTATTATGGCACTGGCACTAGGTGCATAGTCTTATGTTGTTATCATTCGAAAGACAGCTATTATTAAAACCTACTTACCAAGTAAGTTAGTTACTATCACTACTTTCCACATGAAGATATTAGATTAACTTACTCAAAATTTCAACTCATGAAGTAGGTATTTGAATTAAAGTCTGTATAATTTCAAAGTCTATTGCATTAACCATTGTGCGATGTCTCTCAAAATAACTTTTTCATTTTTATGGCATACGGGAAATTTAAAAGTGTTAACTCAATCTTGTGGGAAAAGGCAGAAAGAATATAAAAATTAATTCACTTCAAGATATAGAATAACTTCAGAAGATACTGCTAAGGCTGGAAAAAGGCCCAGAGGCCTTAATGAGTTGACTATTTTTTCAATACTGATTTATCAGATGGGTATTTCAGTTATAGAATTTTTATATATCCATCATAATTTTTCATCACTATGAACATTATTTTCAGATATATATATATATAATATAAAAAAAAAATATATATAATATATATATATAAAATGATAGGTAGCAGATATACACCTGTCTCTTCAAACATTTGAGTATTATAAAAGCAATGACAGACAGTATAAGCTTTCCTGGAAAAGAAAATCTCATATTTCTCATTCTACGTATTAATGAAGTCAGGTATTTATCTAGTATTATGGTATAACTTCTAAAGATTAAGTATATTACTCTTTTTAAAATGCACTAAACTGCAAAATACCACCAGCAGCCCACATTCACACAAACACCCAGAAAAGTAAAGTCTCCAGAAGGAAATTATTTACAGTTAAACAAACAAACAAACAAAAAGGTAATACCTCCGACAGTTGACTGGATTTCTTCTGTTTTTGGAACAAAAATTCTGATTACACTTGTGTTGATATAAATCAAGGGTAAATTTCGTGAAGTCACTGTATGGGTTCTCATGGGCTGACCAGGAGATTTTCTTTTCTCTTTTTGTCTTGGTAGTTTTGTTTGAAATATACTTGCAATGGCATTAAGCAAAGGAAAATAAAGGACAATATCAAAGGCTTGTGCTGAAAGAAGAATTTCATGAAGAAAATGAGGGGAACCATCCATTAAACCTTCAGATAACTTATGAAAAGTTCTTCGTTCATTTCTTGATGTTAACTTGTGGCGAACATTTTTTGTTACAGCTTTTGTATATGTCAGAGAGAGAAATCCATGCTGCTGATGAGAGCCATCTAGAAGTTTGGTAGTTGTCTGTTCCAGAAAAAGGAAATCATGATACACATTTCATTAGAAAAAGAAGAAAATGACCTTAGTATTTTGATCTTTCTATCTTAACCATTATGTACTTCTTAATAAACGGTGACTAAAATTAAATCTGCAGACGGGGAAAAAGCTTCTACAACTGTTAAAATGACTGACATGAAAACTAGAAATTCTCTATAAAAATTTTTCTGAATCAATTATTGGTGTACAGCATCTTATTTTGCAAAGTAAATAATGTAAAAATCAGAGTACAATGGATATATCCCACATTCCCAACTCCTCTTCCCAAGACCTGAAGAAATTTTGTTATTAGGGTTCAAGGAGTGATGTTAAAAGGTGAACTGGATCATACCACAGTGATATATGTGCACCCATTTTCATAACATCACAGTTTGCAATAGCTAAAACATGGAAGCACCCAACTGCCCATCAATTGGAGACTGGATAATGAAAATGTGGTGGGTTTTATTTTCCTATAAAATGGAGTATTACTAAGCCAGAAAAAATGAGGAATTAAGAGTCATTTATAGTTACATGGATGCACATTGAGGTGATACTCTTAAGTGAACTAGGACACGTGTAAATACTGAATAGTTTCTCTACTGTGAGAAATTAAAAGTGTAAATAAGGACTAAAAGGTATAATAGATCATGTGAAATAGGAGGCAAAGGGTCAAAGGAGAAGGGGAAAATGGGAGGAAGAAGGGGGAAAAGAAAGAAGGGAATGAAATTAATATGAGAAAATGAAAAAATGTAAACAAAGTCTTTGTAGATATGGAGCGTTGGGGGGGTGGGGGGAAAGGCAGGGGAATGGGAAAAAAATAAGAACCAAGATGGATTATGTAAAGGTACAAATTTCCAATGATGAACATCATTATATTGTATACCTTAAATATACCAATAGAGTTAACTTTAAAAGGGTGAGGGACTGAACTGGGGAAGAAGAAAAGCAAGCGAACATATTAAAATAAACAGTGAAAAAGAGTAACAAAGCCAAGATGTTTCTCAGTCTGTCATCCCGTTGCTTTTAAACCTCTTTCTTTCTAAGTCCTTCTATTGTTGATGCCTTTAAACAAATGACATGGCGAGAGGAGGATTACTCCATTCAGCTACTACTGCTAGTTTTCCTTCTATTTAGCCTTTACAATGAACTGAAAACAATTCACCTTTGTAGATGTTCTTTTTTCAAGGTAATCTGACCATTAAAAATTTTTGGAAATTAATCATTAAAGGTTGTGAAATATAATCATTATTCCAATAATAGTCTGACCCCAAAATGTTTTTCCCTATTGCCAATTTTCTCATTTGTTCTAGCTCCTGCTTTCCCCTTCTTTTTTCTTTCTACACTCAAAGAAAAGAAAAACAAGCAGCACAGGATAGCAGGAAAAAATGCTGCCAGTGTGATAACGATGTTGCCGGCCAGCAGGCAACAACAGCGGTGGCACAGCCCAGTGCGGAAGAGGACATAGCAATGCTGACTTTTGGTGTCTAAATTGCACTTTAGGGAAATGCACATTCTCGTCACTACTACTACTACTACTACTACTACTACTGCTACTACTAGTAATAATAATAAATATCTATTAATTGCAACATTTTAATCCCAGAAACAGTACAAAAGGTATTTCTATCCAAGAATATTTTCATTTGGAAAAACATTTTAAATATTTTGAACACAAGCCTTCCTGAAAGATAAGCTACATGAGAGAAAGACTCTTCATTTATTAAATTATTGTATCACCAACTCCTTTAATAGAAAGGGTAAATATACCAGCTGAAATTAAAATAAGGTAAGTTTTACTTTTCATAGAGAACTACTGAACATGTAATACTATTTAAAATGAAAAATAGAAAACAATGATAATTAAAAAATTTTAATGGAAGGCAAGTAATTTTAAAACATTTAAAAAATGATAGTGATACAGAAAACACCATTTGCTATTATATAAATATGCTATTAAACATTAAACATAGAAACAAAATTACTTTAAATATTTTTATAATGTTAAGAATCTATGTCTTCAATTTGTCTTGAATTACAAAAAAGGAAAAGGAACAGTTCATACATGCTCAGAAAAGACCTAGTAAGGTCTGCAATGATTTAATAAAGTCTTAGAAGAATGATATCACTGTTGTGATAATCTGCTCTAAATATCTGACAAGCTCTTGCAGTTTTGTTTATTAAAGAATATCATTTAAACAAATTAGCTTAAGAAGACATTCATATGTATTGTACATTAGAATGTGGTTTTACACTTCTAAGACACCAGTATTATAAAGCACAGTAATCACCTTTTAGCCAATGATGGAAGTATGCACTTGTCCAGATTTAAGAGAGCACCAAATAATGTACTTTGAATTAGTTAAGAGAAGAAAACAATAGCATGATAGAAAAAAAAAAAGGGAAAAAATAAAGAAAAAAGCAGTCTCATCAAGAATCACAAAAGTAAAGACAAAAACACATTGGTCAACTCTTGATCATTTGGTATATGCACAATTAAAAAGGATATTATATTTAACATCTTGCTATGATTTTCTTGCAGCAATGGTAAAATTGGTTTGTATTTATAAACCCAGGAAGACAACAGCATGTCCAAATCCCTCAAAAATAGATTACATATAGTGAAAAACCAATCCAAAATAACCAGTACAGAACAAAATCAAAATCAAGAGTTGACTCTATGAATAATTCAATTCCTTCTCTGGGTTCCTGTTAAGGGGAATTCTGTAGCATAATTTAAAAATGATTTCTTACAGAAGGAAAGAAGCCAGAGCAATTACTGAAAGGGTCCTGCTTGCGGATGGGTCGAACCAACAAAGTGCGTCTGTTCAGCTTGTCAGTACAGGAAAGGAAGACACCTCCACATTGCCCCAGAGACCAACACTCTTCCCCAAGGCTTGAGGTGATGGACAGGAGCAAAGAAGGTGAAAAGACAAAAAGTAATAAAAGCCATAAGAAAAAACAAAACAAAACAAAAGACAACAACAAAAAAACTGGATAGATTTTTATTCTGCTCAAGTTTGCATATGTTTAATTTGAGTCACAGCTAGGTATAGCTTCTTTCTGGACCATCTTCTGTAATGTACTGTTAATAAAAATAAACTAAAATAACTGCTTTAGTACATAATCATTATGTTTATTATAGTAAAGGACAATACAGCATGAACTTAGGAAGGGTTATTTTTTCAAAAGTCAACATAATAGTTTAACAAAGATAAAATATAATAAAAGCATCCTACCTTTTTGGGATAAATTTATTTACTTGCTATAAAGGAAGATGGTTACAAAACATGAGCAGATTAAAAGAATAAAGAGTTTTAAATTTAAAACGTAATTTTGAAGAAAGAGGTAAAATATTCTGAGCTCTAATTCTTGTAACCATGAATCCTTGTGCATGAAAGAACAAAGATAAACAATTTGAAATATATCTTCAAAAATTGTAATTACTAAATGAGTCTCACCACAGGTTTTTCTTTGCACTGTAGAAATACTCCTTCAAAATGTCCTGACTGCCAACCTTCCCCTGGCCTGGAAAACATAAGTTTACCTTATCTGTTCTCTTCAATTTTTCTGAATTAAAAAGTTGAGCATATATAACTATTTCAATAGTTCTAAAGTAAACAACACTATACTGTTCCAAAACAGGGATATAATGATGCATTCTATAGAACCATTATAATAGCAACACACTTTGATAATTATGTATAGAACTATTTGTCCTTTAACAAATGGTACATTTATTTCCTTATTAGTTTCTATCTCATCTACAAGACTATAATGTCCATAAGGGTACAATCTAAACCTATTTTATTAAACCCTATATCTCCAGAGCTTAGCATAGAGCTTGGCACATAATACACATTCAATAAACATTTGGGTTATTTGATTGAATGAATACATCAATTATCTAAATTTAACATTTGTATAAAATGTAACAGAAAGGGATAAACTTCAAGACACAACATTTATATCATCATAAATTACTGTACTTCAGCTCTAAAATTGTATTGATATATCACTTGCAAAGATCACTGAATTATGTATATATCATTGAAGAACTAAAGATCTAAACTTCAAAGCCAATAAATGATTCATTCATAAAAAACTAGATGATCGGTAAGATAATATAATGACAGATTCAATACATTTCCAGAAAAACTTTTATATTTCACAATTATAAGTTTTCATTAGTGACACATTTGGTTATTACTGAAATAAGTGGTATGTTAACACTTTTTATGATAACATTAAAAATTCAACTGTTTTAAATGTAGAATTAGAAATTTTTTGTGAGACAGGGTCTTGTGTTTTAGTCCAGGATGGCCCTGAACTTTCACCTATTCTCCTGCCTTAGCCTCCCAAATGCTGGGATTATAAGGTGTGCACCACCACACCTGGCTAAAAAAATTTTAAATAAAAAGGCTGATTTTAGGGTACACAGTGTATCAATATATGCACAGAAACACAGAAGGGCCATTTTCAGGCTCATAAAAAAAAACTGTTACATGCATAAATATTATCTCTGAATCCAGAAAGAAATAGATTTAAGGCCATATCTGAAACAAAAAGCTTTGAAACTGAAAATATGATGCTACTTAAAATATGTTTAAGAAGCATTTGTGAGTTTTATAGTATGAAAGTTGTTTCAATTAAAAATTAAGACCCCAGGTTATAAAGCCAAAGAAAAATATTTTTTATTTTTATGTGTGAAGCATTAATGACAAATCTGCTTTACACCTTTATTTTAAAAATCTAAAATTTACTTTTTAAAATCTCATTATTTATTATTACAAACAAATTATGATTGCATGCAATTTTAATTTTGATGTAAATTAATTAGGGAAGGAACGGTATGGTTTTAGGAATATCTACCACATGTTTATAAATGATCTCTGATATGACCTTCAAAGTTCTAAGAAATATGAGCAGTTACTACATCTCAGGAGAGATTATACAGAAAATGGACAAAATGTATTGCAAAAACCAGATCCATCAACTGCCTTCCAGGTATCTTAGCAAATATATAACATACATAAGTGTGTGAGATGATTAGTAAAGCAACTTCTTTCAGTTAATATTGCAATGTGGATATTTATGAAGAGAGTTACTGTTTTATAAAATGTACTCCACAAATGCATGACTACTAAGTAAAATTAACCCATATATCTCATAGTTAAGAACACTCTTTGGAAATTTAAAGTATTACAGAAAACTTCTAGTAACTTTCTTCAAAGACAGTATAGTTTTTCCTATATTAATGATTCATTATTTACCTGCTTCTATAGTGATCAATATTGAAACTCTCTATTTTACATTTCACTTTGGTATATACATCCTGCACGTCTATGGATGCACTGAGATCTTCTAGTTCACTGACCATACAGACCTCTGCAAAAAGAAGTGAACATTATTATCAATATACTATCTCATAATCGATGTTAAAACATTCACTCTGGCTTGCATTTCTTGGACATTTATAGAGGCACAGAAATTTTAAAAGCTTACAAAATCATAAGCAAAATAGGCCTTTCATTTAAAATGAGACATTTATTTAAAGATAAGAAAAATCCTAGTTAATATTTGAGGTGCTAATCTGATACCAGTCAGGGATTTTTGTAGTATTATTAATGACAATGATAAAATGCATCAATTTGATCGATGAAGAATTTTTCTTAAGTCTTTGGGATGAGTGTTTAATAGCAACAGGCAAAATTAAAGTATAACAGTCAAAGACAGTATGTGTACATCAATGTTACATACTGATTAGATTCGTAAGTCAGAACTAATATAGAAGTCACTTGAATTAAAGCTAATTATATTTATTTTTAAATTTCAATATTTTAAAATTTTATTTTTATCAGTAACATTATGTTCTGCACATATGTACTGATAAAAATTAAAACATTAATTACTGACAACAGTAAATAACATTAAGTCTAATATTTTTTCTAAAAAGAGTGTTTAATATTTTGTCTTTATAGCAGAGAAGAAATATTATCTTGTACCTGTGCCTTTATTTTCAGGGTCTGGAGCAAAGAGCTTCATAGTAATTTTGGGGAGTACCCATTGCATCCAGAGACTAACACGTCCACTGGATCCACCAATGTTACTAGTAGTTTGTTCCAAGGTAACAGAATCTGAAAATGGTGACTCATCACCTGCTTGTATAGAATCTCCCTGGGGTGAGGAAAAACAAAAAACAAATTGTAAATTAAAAACAACTAAGAATGTATCATTTAAAATTATTTGTGACTTTTACAAATTATATATGCTAATTAAAAGCATGTAAAAGCTAATACTTTTACATAATACTAAACATATAAACATATACTACTCAAAAGATTTGTATAGTTTCAATATCGATGCATGATATTCTCATTTTTTCTACAAATAAAGACTCAGAACAAGTTAAGTTCATATTAATGATAACATTCTCTTAGAACAAGGGTCTGCAAACTATAGCCAAGAGCCAAATTCAAATGTTTGAGGCAATAAAGTTTTACTAATTCACTGTCATACCCAATCATTCACTTACTATCCATGATTGCTATTCAGTGAAGCTGCATAGTTGCTACAGAGATTCTATGGTCCACAAAGCCTAAAGCATTGTTGATAACTAGCACTATACAGAAAAATTTGTCTTCCTCTGGTACAGTGTTTTTTTGTTTGTTTTGTTTTGTTTTGTTTTTTGGTACTGGTAATCGAACTCAGGTCCTTGTGCTTGCGGGGCAGGCTGCAGAATCACTGAGCTAAATCCTCAGCCCTCTGGTACAGTGTTTTTAAGACTCAATCTAGAATAATCATAGCAAAGTCATCAGTAGTTCAATAAACAACAAAACATTCATCATGCCTAACATTTTTCAATAGGAGAATTACAATTTAGTAGATTTAACAATAGATTTTGAAATGGTTTTTAATGTTTTTATTATAAAACTTCAAGGAATAAAGCATGAGCTTATCCCATTCAATGGGCCAGGGATTTAGTTCAGTGGTTCCGCTGCCTATCTCACAAGGAAAAGGACCAGAGTTTGATACTCAGTACAACAAATAAACAAACAAACAAACAAATAAGGTCCTTTATTTGGTGCTAACATACTTTCTGTCAAAGGTTTATTGGTTTCTTTTTGGTCTTTTAAGTGGCTTTTAGTAGCCTACAGTAAAAGAAATCCCTTTACCTGGAGTAGCAAAACCTTAGTCTCAAATGCAGGAAGATGGTCCTGAAGTCAGTGATCACTCAATATGTTTAGTTCTTCTAAGATTAAATACTAAATATAAGGGTTAAAAAAAAATCTTAAAATTCTGAAGTCTACATGAAGCCCACCAACAAAATTTAAGAGCTTCTGTTAGTCAGATTTCCATCCCTGTGACAAAACACTTGAGATAAGCAACATAACAGAGGAAAGGTTTGTTTTGGCTAAAAGTCTCGGGTTCCCATCACAGGGCTCTGATGTTTCTGGGCCTATGATAAGGCAGTATATCATGACAGAACAGAGTGAAGAAAGCTGCTAACCTTAGAGCACCCAGGAGAGAGAGAGATAATGGGCACATCTAGGAATAAGATACATCCTTCTAAGACACAACCTCAGGTGCCTACTTCCACCGACTAGGCCCCCACCTTCCAATGTCTCTACCAACCTCCCAACACTGCTATCAAATTGTGCCTCTATCAGTGAATTAATCCATGGATGAGGTTAGAGGTCTCATAGCCACTTACTTCCGGAAAAAGACACCTCTGAACACTGCTGCCTTGAGAACCAATCCTTTAAGAGGCAAACCCTTTGGGGGTTCAGACCCTAAGTCCATACATTTTGGGAACTGATTAAATATAATATAATGAGCTTATTTGTTTAAAATATGTGTGTGTGCATGGAGTAGAAAAACATAAATAATAGTTTGAGCTTACACATAAGTTATAAATACTTAAGGTTTGTATGCTAAGTACTTTAAACATCATTTTAGGCAAATCATTTAAGAGTCTAATATCTACTTTGTAATGGTTCTTTTTTTTGGCTTTTTGAGACAGGGTCTCAGTACGTAGTTGAAAATGGCCTGAACTCACTATGTAGCCCAGGCTTCATTGAGACCAGGCTGGTCTCAAACTCAAAGCAATCCTCCTGCCTCAGCCTCCCGAGTGCTGGGATTACAGGTGTGCACCACCTTGCCCGGCTTGTTTGTGTGTGTGTGTGTGTGTGTGTGTGTGTGTGTGTGTGTGTGTGTGTAATGGTTCTTTACAATGCTGTTTCTCTCCTACTCTTAAGGACAAATAAGAATATCAATGTAAATGAGTGTTTACATTCAGCAAACATTTTATGAGTGGTAGGTATAATCATCACCATCTAGGTGAACCAATACTAGCTGGAACCAATACAAAAACAATAGTATAATTGCATTCTTAAAGAATTTGGTATCACCTTTGTCCTTTTCATTTTGTCACATTTTAAAATTCAGACAATTTTCATTCGCTATACATCTTCAATCTTTAATAATTCACTACAGCTTTGAATGTCTCAAACAAAACACCCATTAAAAATGCTATGCCGTTATGACTGGTGCGCAAGAGCCAGAATAAAACATCCTTTAACATTTTTGAGACATTAACATAAGATAATCAGTATGCTATTAGAGTCAGAATGCTACTTTCTATGGATAGATTATGAGATCAGAAGCCTAAACTCTTAAGTCAAGTCAATAGTCTGACACCTAACAGAAAAAAAAGATAAATAAAACCCCATATACCACCCCACACAAAACTCTGCCCTGATTACCACAGATATACCATTCTGACAAGGGTACATTTAGTTCTTTTACCTTAAGCTCAGAGATTTACAACATCATTAAATCAAACAAAAATTAAATTTCCCTGAAGCCCCAGAAAGAGACAAGGCCAAATGAGGAATACTTTCACAGACTGATAGTCAGGTATTTAGGAAGAGTCAGACAAAGCACCAACCACAGAAAAGTGTACTGAGGATTTACAGTGCTAAAAATTATAATCAAACCTAAGGTGAAAAATTATAGTCAAGCCTAAGTTGAAACTGAAGTTGAAGTCACTCTGTCCCACAAACACCAAGCAAATAACTCACTTTTTGTGGGGTTTTTAGATAAATAGTTCTCCAAAACATGCAGTCCTAAGTCTGCTATGATTGAAATTCTTAGAACCTAAGACGCTATTAAAAAAACAATCAGTTTTCTGTTAGCAGTCTAACAAAATCTAATGAAAGGCACAACTAATTCCAGAAGATGATGCTTTTTACAATGTCAAATTAAATAAAAGACATTAATGTGGTCAGCATGCCTTACTTCCGGGATAGGCTCTTAGAACAGAAGCAAGCATAAGCTAAATCTATGGTCCAAATGTTAGAAGAACATCATCCCCCAAGAATGGAGAAGTACAAAGAAAATAGTATCTCAAATCAACAAGACCTTGATTTCTAACACTACTGGGTATACTTAATAAGGATGCTAAGAAAATTGTTGCTTCAAATTTAATAAAGATTCCTGAGAAAAAGCTTTGCTCTACTTCCTCATGCATTTTCAATTTTCATTTTGGATTTATATTTGATGTGATATTGTTAGCCATCTTTGTGCATTAATTTTCTGCTCTGTTTCCAAATCTATAGTGAACATCAGGCCAGAAATGGAGATACTGAACTATTTTCCCACACCTCCTTAGGCCAAGTTCTAAAATAAACAGTCAAATCTTTTCCCATTTTGTTGCAAACTGACCAAAATACTAAATTTATTTTCCTAGGTGAATTTATCTTTGTTCATGGAAGAGCAAACACTTAAACCCTTCATCCTTGGACTGCTTGAGAGCTCTGGGATGCTCATAGTTTTGGCCTCACTGCTACCCTTTCTTATCAAAATAATTCTAGCATTCTTGTTCAATCCTAAAATTTCCCAAAAGGCTAAACACTTCCACCACTGTTTGTACTTAAGTCAACAGTAACAAGAGGCCTGCTGGGGTCTCCACTACTTTTGCTTTCACTGTATCAATGCAAGAACAGGAAAAATGATTAACTGCTTTTAAGCTCAGTAGTTAAGTCTCTTGCTCATTCTTCCTACTCTACCATAAGCCAGACTAAAATACAGGAAGCTGGAGCTATCTATATTGGCAGGAAAGCACAGTGCTCACTATCAACATGTCAGCATGAAAAGAATTACTCATAGTTTAAAGTATAAATCATTATGGACCATATAAATAAATTCTTCTATTTAATACAAACAAATTTTAGAATGTGCTTTATGAAACTAGATCCATTTCTAGTAAGCCTTCCATATTCAACAGAATTTAGAAGTAGTTTTGACTCAACCAAGCAAGAAACCTCAACTCTTGAAATAGAAAAATATTTTAAAACTTTGTTAATTTTTTGAATGTAAATTTTATTTTTAAAATTTAAAAACATGTCAAAGCAGAACTAAAAACAGTTGATGATAAGTGAGCAAGATAAATGTGAAATTATCTCAGATTATTAATCATATTTTTATAATAAAGCTATCTGAATTTTAACTCAAGTAGTCAATAATTGAAAAACTAGATAAATATTCTGATGTGAATATTCTCAAATAGGAAAACTATTATATACAAAACACTTTATTGAATGGCACATGAAAGCTAAACAAAAACCATTTCTCTGATCTGTTTTGATGTATTATTTTTGTTTCTTTCCATAATTATTTAAATAGGAGGATAATCTAAATGCTAATTTCCACATTTTGCATAATAGTTCCTCAGTAAGGGTTTGTAATAATACTATGTAAAGAAAAATATTACATGAAATAAGTGAATTCTCAGTAAAATATGTAAAATAATTATGGGACTGTCTTAAAAGAGCAATTGAGTAAAAAGCTCAAACTAAGCTTACCATATAAATTGTTATTTGAACAATAATTTGAGGTAGAACATGGTTTAGGTTAATAGTACTTAAATAACTGAAAAACTAATGACAGTTTTACGGTAGCAAATGATGCCAAACAATTTCTCAGTCCAGTTTCAGTTTTAACTGAAAATCATGCAGTATAAGCAATTGTGAACATTAAAAAATGAACAATTTAGGGCCAGGGGTTTGGCTCAGTGGTTCTGGCGCCTGCCTCAAAAGTGCAAGGGTCCAAGTTTGATCCCTGGTAACCCCCCCACCAAAAGAAGCATTTCATACAATTTTAAAAAACAGGCTGCT